TGACCTTTTTTCTGTGAGCAACAAGACAAAGATGGCTGGTTTCTTCTTTCCCCAATCCTCTTATCTGTTTTATGTTTTATTCCTTTTTTTCGCTCTGATCCTGGCTCGGCTCGGTATCCCTTCGCTGCTGCTGTTTTTTCCTCTCAGATCTGTGGAGAAAACGGTGGAGGATGGATGTAGAGAATGAGCCATTGATTTTCTCCCATCAGCTCAGATTAAGGAAACGCCAATACAGGCGTCTCCATCTGGTTCATTTTAAGTTCAGAATTACTGAAAATGAAAAAATGGAGCACCTTAAAAAAGAGGTGCTTATCTTCCGCAGGCTGCCGCCACATCCTGTTGGTCTGCTGTTATGCACCACCGAGTTTCTGAAATGCAATATTACTATTTTTAATAGACACATTAAAAAAGCAATGGCTACTGCTGTTCATAAATGAACTAAGTGGGGATCCCATTAGTGGTCTCAAAGCCACTTGAATCACCAATTATATTAATTTATCCCTTGGAGCTCTGAGGTCTTCAAGCTCCAGTGAAAACAGGATAAACATAATTTTAATTTTTTTTTTTTTATGGTCATTTAATGAAAGTTGTTTTATATGTGTGTGTGTTGTTTATATGTTAATGTGTCTTTGTGTCTGTGTTAGAAAGGCTGGAGATCTAGTCATTCAGCGGTGATTCTCCAGTTATGATGGGAGACACATCTTTACAAAAACACACACACACACACACACAGCAGTCTGCAATCACAGATCATCAACACACACACTTTCCCATAATTCTCCATTGGTGTATACTACCAAACAAACGGAAGTTTGAAATTGTTTAGGTGGTAGTGTTTCTGATATACTTGAGATGCTCAGAGTAAAACACACCGTACCTCCCCGGGCTGCAGAGGAACCTGTCCCCCTTGGGGGAGCTTCATCCAGAGCTGTGTGTCCCAGTCCAGGTTACACATGCTGTGCTCTTTTTCCCTCCAGCTGGACACTCTCTTAATTAGGCTTAATTGCATTTTTAATTGAATACTGATCTTTATTTGACATATCTACAAGTAATGTGCTGTACATTCTTTGCAAAGTATATAATCTGTCAGCTAAACTGGGGGGTGATTACATGGCCAGAATTAGACAGCTGTGTTGGGAAAACAGCAAGGTTACCTGGAGCTAATTTTAGAAGTCTGTATGGATTGTATTATTAATTAATATTATTATTAATTCATTTTTATCAGGCCTATGTATGATGATAAATAACAGTAGTCCGTAACTAATCTTATTTAAATGTAGTACGTTGAGTTTTTATTCCAAATTCCATATTTTCTAATTCCAAATTTCAAATTTTTTCCATATCGCTGTATTTGCTGCTGCTTTTCACACAGTGAGATCTGTGTTTGTGTTAGAAAGGCCTGTTTTCCTCAGACAGCTGATGTAAACAATGGGGGGGACTCTGACACGATAGGCAACACTCAGAGCGCACTGTAATTATGCCTTCTGCAATGGGGCTGCCCGTGGTTTGTAGTTAACACTGCTTTCCCCTCTTTCCCATCGAAACACATTTCGGTTTATTGCCTTTTAGCTCATAATGGGTTTCCCTCCCGGTGACTCTCGCAGGCCTATTTTATTTTAAATAATCAGACACTAGAGCCGCGTTTGACGCCTTTTCTGCTCAAACCCGTAACCCCGAGGGGGTCGTCATTTATTTGTCACGCCGTGCAGCAGCCAGGTCCCATCAGGGGTTTGATTCGAGTCCAGAGAGTCATCTGTTCGCCTCTCCGCTGCTCCGCGCGGCGGTCGACCCATCCGCCGAACGCTTCCGCCCCGCCCGCTCCTCTCTCACACTGCGCACGTCTTCATTCGTTTCGCCGTGGGGGGAGAGCGTCGTGCACGACCAACGGTCTGTTGTCTGTCTGAGTCGTGTATGGATTCTCCCATCAGCAACGCGCAGCTCATGCTAACGTCTGCTTGCTTGTAGGAGGCGCACGGATCATTGCAGTGAGATTCAATGTCAGACGTTCGGTTTTGATTGCCGTGTTGTACCACCGTCACTGAGAAATGCTTGAAATTTAAGAAGCAGAACTGGAAGGCATTATCTTCTCCTCTCTGGCCTTCACGGTATCTTCATAAGCTTGGGGTTGGGCTCCACTCCAGAATGTGTTTCCTGATGTCCTCTGGTGTCCCCCTGATTGTGTCCTCAGTAAATGAGACCAGTGTGAGTAACAAAGGTAGCTGGGGGGGCGGACAGAAAAAAAGATGCCACCAACTATGAAAAAGGAAAGAATGCAGGAGAGAAAGAAACAGAAAAGGAAGGAAAGTGAAAGAATGTGTGGAAGGCAAAGAAATGTGGGGGGATGATAAAAGGCTTAGGAGAGAGAATCTGGGAAAGAAAGAGTGAAGCAAGAAAAGAAAATAGGAAAATATTGGAAGGCCAGGGGTAAAAAGAAAGAATTAGAGAGAGAGAGAGAATGCTTGGAGGAAAGAAAACAAAGGAAAGAATGAAATGAGAAGGG